GGGAAAGGAGTGGACGAACAGGCCACAACAATAAACAGTCTACCTCTCTGGGGCCTGTAGGCATTTGGTTCCAGACACATGGGTGCCAGTCCTGGCTCTAAACCTGGCATGTAACTTGTGAATCCTTTCCCCTCTTTGCTTCTCAGGCTGCCTGGGTGTGAAGTGAGCACAATCATACCCGGCCCTGGGCACACTCTCTGGGTTTCCTGCTGGCATCCTTGAGAGACTTGGGCCCAGGTTTCCAGGTTCCTAAGGGATATCAGGTAAAGCCAGCCCACTCCTTCCTGCCCCCCTGCAAGCTGAGTTCTTCCCTGAGCCCACAGGCAGCCCTTCCTTCCCCATGGCGTCCTGGGCCTTTCCTCTTGAAAGACACATTAAAGGAAGGTTGGGCGGACTTCCCTGGTGGCGCAGTGGTTAAGAATCCGCCTGCCAATGCAGGGGACATGGGGTCAAGCAGCCTGCGTGTCACAGCTACTGAACCCCGTGAGCCTAGAGCCCGTGCTCTGCAACAAGAGAAGCCACTGCCATGAGAAGCCTGTGAGCCGCAACGACGAGTAGCCCCCGCTCACCGTAACTAGAGAAAGCCCGTGCGCAGCAACAAAGACCCAACGCAGCCAAAAATAAATAAATGAATAAATAAATTTTTTTTAAAAAGGAAGGCTAGGCTTCTACAGGCAGTGACCTACCCGCTTCAGCCCGGCCACGGCATCAGAGGAGCAGACCGCGGGCAGGAGGAGGGTGTCCACTCAGCAACTCTACCCTGAGTGCCCACATCTTTGACAGAAAGTTATTTTTAAATTTTCTTAAAAGGGGATCAAACCAAAAAAGACACAGCCAAATGAACACACAGTGTGAACGAGTGAGGCCTGCTCTCCTGGAGCTGCTCTCTTACTGTTGGGATTCTTGCTTAATTTGAGATTTAATGAGACCAGATGAGAGAAGCTTTCTGCAGTAAAAGTCACATGCAAAAAGAAATCAGAGCCAGAAACCCTGATTATAATTAAATTAGCAGCATGCACATTCCTATCACAGTCTTAGCAACATCCTGAAGTTCACTCAGCTCATTAGCAGTATCACCCCTGCAGAAGTAAGTTTGGGGTCACAGGCGTGTTTACTCAACCATCCCCTTCTCAAATACCTTGCCTCCCCCTCCATCCTGCTAAGCCACGCCGATGTGCCCACGAGATGAGCACAGTGAGGACTCAGGCAGGAGCAGCCCCACCTTGATCCGTGGGAGCCCAGGAAATCCACTCGGGGAGCAGGAACGGTGCTTGCGGCTTCCATCAACAGGATGCCCCTCAGCAGGGAACAGACTGCTGTGCAGTCAGATGTGCATTCTCCACTGTGAAACTGTGGCCTGAAAAAGTGACAACCTCTGAAAGTCTTAGTTTACTCATCTGTAAAATGGAGATGCTGTTAATACTCTCCTACCTGCAGGGTTCCTATGAGGGTCAGCAATGTGTACAAAAAACAGCCCAGCCCAGTCTCTGCCAACGCAGGGGACATGGGGTCAAGCGGCCTGCGTGTCTGGCACAGAACAAGAGCTCAATCCATGGTGGCTGCTATTGTTAATGTTGTTGCTGTCCTTGCTGTTTTAAGATTTCTGTCAGAAGCTCAGAGGATAGAAGCAGCCTTGGCCAACAAGGGGGCCAGCTCAGGAAAACTGGCAGGCAGCAGCTGACAGTTAAATAGCTCAGGAGAGTCAGAGGCTCCAGGGCTCACTGTGGCTGCACCCTAGCTACTGTGTGACCTTGAGAAAGCCACTTCCCATTTCTGGTTCTCTCTCTGACCTGAAGGGCCTCTCTGGACCTTCCTGCCCTAGTTCACCTGTGTCTCTAGGACTGTTGCCAGCTCTCCATAGGATACCTGGGCAGGTAGGAAAGGTTCCAGCAGGGGGAGCCAAGCCTAGAGCAGAGACAAGATGCTTTGGGGCACCAGGAGAGGAGAAGGAAGAGACTTCTGTTCCAGGCCCTCCATGCAGGGCTTCACAGGCTGACAGGCGCGTCTGGTCCTCGGCGCACGCTTGTGAGACACAGGCACGAGCCATCAAGACTGAAGCCTAGGCCAGCGCTAGGAATAGGGCATGAATGCAGTCATTCCAGCTCCGCAGCCTCTGGCCTCTCCCAGGTTGAGCTGCTGATTCTGTGAGGTCTGTCCAGAGCTGGGCTGGGGCTGAAAGAGCTGAGGGGAAACCCCAGGAAAAAGAGGAGAGAAAGGAACCAGTAACAGTTCCTGTTTAGCGAGCA